CACCAACAACAATTGTTGAGCCTCCTTTTTCTATCAATGCATATGATGTGGGGGCAGGAGCATCAAGTTTCGCAACTGGTCACTCCGATCCACTCATTTCACCTTTTCTCCAATATGACCCAGATTTGATTTTTTGTGATGATGAATACTTTACAAGATTCACCTACAGTCTATTCAACATCAAGATTGAAAGTGATGATGAAGCTCCCGTCACAAGTGGAAAAATCAAGGCAATACACAAAAAACCAAACATGCTACTTCACGCTTCAAAGACATCATCCACCAATGATTATTCTCAATCAATAGTCAAGTCTTGTCTTGAGACTCTTACGAAATAGCACTCCGCCAACCTTGAAAAGATAAACAAATTGGTAGATGCTTCTGACAATGATTACAAGAACATGACCGAAAAAATCGATAAACTAATTACCGATACAACAGTATTTATGGAGAAGTTTCAGAGCTCCTTTGAGTCCAACACTGCGAAGGCTGACAAAGTCATTTCTATCATGGGATCAACCCTTAAAATTGAGAAGGAAAAACTTCAAGAGGTTCGTACTGGTCATAAATCTGACCATGACGACTTCCAAACATCCATCTCCTCGAAAATATATAAGATTCAAGATGATCTCACAATGGAGAGAAAAATAATGGATGCAATTTCTGTCAAGACAGAAAAGTTCAAAGTCCTTACCATCAAAATCGAAAATGTTGAGAAACAAGTCAATGATTTGTTATCCGAAAATGCAGCTATGAAAAGCTATATCATAGACGTTACTAGCATGCTTTTGGATATCATTGAGACTCGTGACTCAATGATCATGATTATGGTGAAGAAGCATATTGCTGAAAAACTAAGGCCAGTGTTCACCATGCTCCATAGAATGGAAGGTGTTCCAGAATCTAGCCCCATTGATAAAAAAAGGGGGGAGAAGGTATGTTACAATTCAAGAAGGAAGACCCCAAACCTTCAGCCAACCCAATTGTCAAAAGAAAATCTAAGCCTAAAGGCAAAGAAATACTTTTCATTGAAGAACCCATAGTAGATAACAGTGAAGATGAAGATCCTGTTGAAAATGAGGTCAAAAAGAGAAAAGGACGTGAAGCAGAAACGGATGAGCAATAAAGAATTATCCGCAAGGCTGAGGTGAAAAGAGAAAGCGGAACGCGAAGCTTAGGTCACACTAGAACGCCGAAACCTTTGTGTTATTCGAGCTACAACATATAGAAGATTCACAGCTGGATCTTCTAATAACACCAAAAGCCTTCAAGTTTCTCTCTTTTATGAAAGTAGTAAATGTCCCTTCTACTGATAGCGGCGCTGATCACCTGCTTTTCTCATTCTATCTCAAGAATTTGAAGCCACAATACGAAACATGGAGTGGTAGCAAGATTATTGTAGTAAAGGTCACAATGTCCCTTCTACTAATAAAATCTTATCCTTTTTCTATTTCAAATGTTAACTTCAAACAATGCTTCTGGCTCTTCCAACAACAACTCTAACCACTTCTCACTCTTGAGCATCTACTCAAAGGTAACCTTTGATGGTTCTAATTTCAATGATTGGATCTGTAACATCAAAATGTTGTTGCACTCTGAGGACAAGCAATATGTTCTCGAAAAGGAGCTAAACAATATTGAAGAAACTAAATCTACTCTCGAAGAAATTGCTGAATATAGGAGACACTGCAATGATGCTACCCAAGTGGCATGTATCACGGTGGCTAATATGACTCCTGGACTATAAAGGTTCTATGATGACTATTGGACTTATGAGATGTGCAAGGACTTGATGGAGAAGTACCATAAACGAGCCCGTCAAGAAAGGTATGAAATAGTCAAGTCGCTAATAACCAGCAAAATGAAGGATGGAGAGTCTATCACGACTCACTTGCAATGTATGCAGTGTTATATGGATTGTTTGTTAAACCTTAATGTTAAATTCAATGAGGAATTGGCAATTGAGATAGTCTTGCACTCATTGCCTATCTGTTATGATCAGTTTGTTATGGCTTATCATCTGAACAAAGAGGAAACTACATTGAGTCAACTCCAAAGCTTGCTAAGAACCGACAAGAGTGGAATGAAGGGAAAGAGTATTACCTCCACACATGTTGTTGTTGCTGCTCCCATCTTAACCATAGGGTAAGGGGAAAGAAAAGAAGAGTAAACCTACCTCAAAACAACTCGAAGGAAAAGCCTCAAGTCGGGTCCTCAAGTAATAGCCCTAATGGAAAATCTAGTTCCGAAGCTCCCCCAGCCTCTGATCCGAAGGAGGCTACTTGTGTTCACTACCATGACAAAGGGCATTCAAAGGGAAGCTGCCCCAAGTATTTGCAAGATATAAAGGATGGCAAGGTTAAGCCAACCTCTGTAAGTATTTACACTATTCTATCTAAAAACTCATCAGATTCGAAATCGTGGGTTCTTGATACAAGGTGTGGTTTTCACATTTTCTCTGACTTGTACGGAGTAAAAAGAAGTGAAGATGTGGAGCATGGGAAGATGAACCTAATTATGGGAAATAGGAGATCATCATCTATCACCAAGAATGGTGTTTATTCTTTAGTATTTAGTAATGCGTGATATTTAAATTTAAGTATTTGTTGTTACTTATCATAAATGACAAGAAATATTATTTCATTTCATGGTTTATATAGATAAGGTTTTAGATATTCTTTTGATAATGAGAATGGTTCTAATCATTTTTATTATAATGGTGTATTTTATTTTGAAGCATTACCTTGTGATGGCGTGTATGAAACTGTGATGGTTGTAGACAACTTAGGAAATAGTGTGTTGGAAACTGATTCGTCTAATGGTCTAGACAATGCATGCTGGTGGCATTGTCATCTTGGACATGTCAACAAGAAACACATTGCCCAACTCCAAAAGGATGAAGTGTTGGAATTATTCGACTTAAGGTCGGATGATACATGAGAGTCTTATCTACTTGGAAAGATGAATAAATCAACTTTCACGGGTTCATGTGAAAGAGGTGATGGATTGTTGGATCTCATACACATAAATGTGTATGGGCCCTTCAGAACTATCACAAGGGATGAAAATTGATTTTATATGATTTTTACCGATGATTATTGCAGATATGGATATATCTACTTAATAAAGCATATTTCAAAAACCTTTGAAAAGTTCAAAGAATTCAAACATGAAGTTGAGAATCAATTGGAAAGGAAGATCAAGATTCTCAGATCTGATAGAGGTGGTGAGTATATTATTATCGAGTTCCATGGCTACCTTAAGGAATGTGGAATTGTTTCACAATTGACACCTCCTAGGACACCATAACTTAACGGTGTGGCTGAGTGGCGAAATCGAACGTAGTTGGACATGGTTTGTTCCATGATGATTCGAGCTTCATTACTAATCACGTTATGGGGGTATGCCTTAGAGATTGCCATCGGCATTCTTAATCTTCATGCAACAAAGAATGTTGCCAAAACACCTCGCAAGATGTGGACATGGAATGTTCCTTCGTTGGCACATATCAAGGTTTGCGGTTGTGAAGCTTTCGTTAGACGAGAGACTAACATCAAGCTTAAACCTCGAAGAGAACGATGTAGTTTCATCGGATATCCATAGAAGTCCTTTGGATACTTGTTCTACAGACCTAGTGAGAACATGGTGTTCGTAGCACAAAGTGGATTCTTTCACGAAAGAGATCTCATATGAAAAGAGGACAATGAGAGTGCAATTAATCTTGAAGAAATTCTAGAGCCAAGCGATGAAGGATCCTTTAACACTAGCACTCAACCCGAGGAATAAATTGATGTTGAACCTATTGGCAAGTTGTTACGTCTTAGATGTTCCACTCGAGTTAGACTGACACCAGAGTTTTATGGTTTCCATATAATTATGGATGGTGATATGTTTATCAATGATAGTACACTGGTTTATTTTGACGAACCGTATACATACAAGGAAGCCATGGTAGGCCCTAAGTCTGCTAAATAGAAAGAAGAAATGGACAACGAGATCCAGTCCATGAATGACAATCAAGTTTGGAACTTGATTAACCATGTACCAGGTCGTAAGACAGTTGGATGCAAATGGATTTTCAAGAAGTAGACTGGCATAGGTAAGGTGCACACCTTCAAGGATCGACTGGTTGCAAAAGGCTTTACTTAAACCCCAGGGGTTGACTATGATGAGACCTTCTCACCGGTGGCAAAGATTAAATCTATAAGGGTTATGTTAACTATAGTTGCGTTTCATGACTATGAAATTTGGCAGATGGATGTCAAAACCGCTTTCCTTAATGGAAAGTTGGCTAAGGATGTTTACATGAATCAGCCAAAACGTTTTGTAGATGTTAAACACCCTAATAGAGTGTGTAAGCTTGAGAAATCAATATATTTATTGAAACAAGATTCTTGCAGATGAGTCTTAGCTTTGGTGAGAAATTCAAAGAGTTTGGCTTCTCTAGAAGTGAGGAGGAATCTTGTGTATATGTGAAAGCTAGAGGGAGTATAGTCACCTTCCTGGTATTGTATGTTGATGAAATACTATTTATAGGAAATGAAATTCCAACCTTACAGGAAGTTAAGTCCTGGTTTGAAAAGTGTTTCACTATAAAGGATTTGGGAGAGGCTGCTTATATTCTAGGAATAAGGATTTTGAGAAATAGGAGTAGAAGATTAATTGGACTTAGTCAAAGTACGTATTTGGATAAGGTGTTAATGCGTTTTAGCATGGAGAATTCAAAGAAAGGGGAGTTACCTATAAAAAGTAATGCCAAGCTGAGTAAGACTCAGAGCCCGAGTACATATGCAGAATTTGTAGAAATGAGTCGAGTTCCATATGCTTCCGCCATTGGATCGATCATGTATGCTAATACATGTACTCGCCCTTACGTGGCTTTTGCTTTGGGCATGGTTAGTCGATATTAGGGAAATCCAGGTAAAGCTCATTGGATAGTAGTTAAGAACATACTTAAGTATCTGCGAAGAACGAAGAACTGGGTCCTAGGGCTTGGTGATAGTGATGACTTAAGAGTTACTGGGTATAGTGATGTTAAACTTTAGATGGACAGAGACAACTTCCGTTCTCATTCAGGCTGGGTGTTTACCCTTAATGGAGGATTAGTGACTTGAAAATTTTCCAAGTAGGAGACCATGGGTGATTCTACTTGTGAATCAGAGTATACTACTACAAGTGAAACATCAAAGGAGGGTATATGGTTGAAGAACTTCATTAGAGATCTTGGAGTAGTACCAGCCATTAAGGAGCCGATATAAATTTTTGGCAAAAATGAAGGAGTGGTTGCCTTGCCTCGTCGTTAAGAGGGTATCATCAGAAGAGAATCCTGTTGATCCCCTATCAAAGGGTCTCGGTAGGATTAGGCATGAGAAGCACGCAAGGTGTATTGGTCTGAAGGATAATATTAGTTTTAGTGATTAGATAGTTATTTAGAAACTTGTAAAAAATAAATTCAATTAACATTTGATGATTAAATAATAGAGATTTATTTATGAGTATCATTTACTATCTTTTGTCAATTATTTATCTTTGTGTTTCTTTCGAGTGTTTTACTTCCCGAATAATTGGATTATTCAAATATCCAGAGTCGATCATACTTTCGAAGTAAGTAGTGAATTAAGGTTATCATAAATTAGATTGTAGGTTGTCTAAGTATTTAGACATAGGAATGGTTTGTTGCAAAATTCATGAGTGCTTTTGAAACAGGGATTTAAGTATTGGATTAAGCTCACGCTCAATGAATTATTTCATGGAATTTATCATGAGTAATTTTGAGAAGATAATATTGTATAATATTTAAACCAAGATATATGAGTTGTTATTTACGAGTTTGTTGTGTATTGATAATGCGTAAACACATCAGTAACTTGGTGTTATAAAGCGTGTTGTTGTGCATGATTTGATGAGTAAATAGTACAAGCATATGAGTCAAAGTTTATTTGTTCCTTTTGACCTAAGGGGTAAAATTAATATCTTGGGCCCCTCTTTGATTTCATGTTGACTTATGTGTTGGGCCCGGTCAAGATTGAATTGAAGTCATAAT